AAGGCATTGAATGCGTGTAGGTCCTTCCGAGCGCTCCTGCAAAGTAAAACCAAATTATATCTGAGTCCAATTTCATTAAAGATCTTTTATGCCATTTTAGTCATGACATTTCTGTTATTCAGATTACTCCTGGGCTGTGCCTCCTATTGCTTAACTCCATTAATCCCAGACGGTGGAGTACAGCGGATTCACCTCGGCCGAGAGGGCAATCCGCGGCTCTGCTACAGTATGTAGGGCTCAGTTCAGGAGGTGGGAAATCCCTACAACGTAATACAACGTCAGCCTAGACGACCGTTCGGGCCCAGCGACCTATAACTCCTCAGAGGCTCAGCCGACACTTGCCGTATCTGAGCTTGTGAAGCCTCAGAGGTTAAGCCGGACTTTGCCATAACCCAGCGTGTGCGCGCCTCAGAGGCTGAGCCAGTATTCACCGTAACTCAACTTGGGCAGTCGCATCGGGTCTCGGAGAAATGGGGACGAGTCAGAGGCTGCAAGACGGTGTTAGAAATAAACCCAGTCTATGGGAAACATGCAGCGGTTTATTCACAATTAATACAAGATACATCAATTTAACCAAATATAACATTAATGTAATTCTAATATGTGGTCCTAAACTATACCATCTAATCATAAACAATAGTACAATTCCATACCTCAGCTGAGTGGACACACAGTAACTGCAGAAAATATCTGATTACAGATGTAGATTCATACAGCACTATGTGGGAGCTCTGATTACAGAGTGTCTCCCTTTGCTACTCTGGAGTTCTTCCTTAAGTTTTCCAAACCAAGTGACAGACTGTACCAAATATTGTGATTGATTATATTAGGGCCTGCTCTGATCTTGTGTGTGTGTGTCCTGGAGAACTGCTGATCTTATCAATTCTCAGACCCTCAACCAATCGAATCGCTTTAGGAGGAATGTGATAATTCCTTTGTTCTAACAGGTAATAAGATCCTCCACTTTGGTGGATTTATTCTTACTTTCTATATTTCTCTTATGTGAGAACATACTGCTTTAAGGTTGAGAGTACTGTGCCCATCATACTGTGACCATTCAAACAAGACCAAACATGGGTGTATGTGTCCCTAATGTCTGGGGTAATGCCTCCTATGTTAGTATGACTTAGCGAGTGTAGGATGCATCTTTGTCTTGACGCAGTCAGGCCTTGTCGCTGGAATTTGGCTGCGAGGTTCTGGCCGCCCAGTGGGGGTGAGGTGTCCCTTTTGATGTAGTGATCGGGTGATTTGGGTCCAGTCTTGTCAGAGCCAGTGGACCTTTGCCTTAGGACACTGGGTGGGACATTGCAGGCTGGCCAGAGCTCAGACCGACGGGGCCTGCAGGGCCTGTGGCCTTACAATTCCTAGACTGAAAAATAGTTAGTGTTGATTGTTCATATTTTACTGCTCTGAATTCAACCTTATTCCCATTGGTTAATGTGGTGTTTTTCTGGCATTTGTACTGTAAGTGTTCGTTGTTATCTTGGGGGGGGGGGGTGCAAAATTTTTTGCAGAAGATTATATAGAATAGAGTCACTTTTTTCTTGCTTCGCCCCTTTTTGTTCTCCATGCAGGGGGTCACAGTAAAGGGGCAGCCACCTCACAGGCAGGGGGTGTTAAGGGTCTTGCTCAAGGGCCCACAGAAGTGTGACCATTCTGCTGAGGCTGGGCTCAAACAGGTGACCTTCTGATCACAGATGCTTAGCCTGCTGACCCCCCCCCCCCCCCCCATGTACAATGTGTTCAGCTACGTTGTCAGACAATCCAATCCTTTGAAAAAAAATGCAATGACTTTCACACAGTTTAACACCACATGTTCACTGCTGCCTCCTGGGTCCTCATCTCTCCCTCCACCCTTTTCTTGTCACAGAGGAAGAGGTATGAACTGCCTTTATGAAACTAAACAAACCGAAAGCTGTCAATCCTGACTATGTGACCCCTGCTGTGCTCAGCCACTGTGCTGCCCAGCCGGCCCCTGTGTACACAGCGGTCTGCAACCACCCTCTCTGCCTGTCCAAAGTGCTGCAATGCCTAAAAATGGCTACCGTATTCCCAATCGCAAACTCCTTCAGTCCCAGTTGTCTTAATGATTGCCGACCTGTCGCCCTAACGCCAGTGACAATAAAAGCACCGAGGTGAGTCTATCTCACCTCAGGTCCTGCACTTCCACACTACTGGACCCACTTCAATTTGCCTGCCACCCCAACAGGTCTGTGGAAGACGTCATCAGTCAAGCACTCTGAGCATGTGTGCTGCTCATGGACTTCAGCTCAGCTTTCGGTTCTGTCAGCCCCTTCACATTCTTCAAACTAATGGAGATGGGTAGTGACATTGCTCTCTGCTACTGGCTTCTGGACTTCATGTCCCCCCACCCTGTCATCAGCACTGCATTAGCACAGACCTCTGACTCTGTTTCCACAATATAACTGCACATTGCATGCGTTATGTATTATATGTATAAATGCATGTTGTCTGTATTGTGCCTGTGTCAGTTTTTTGTATTGCACTTTTTTGGTTGGTACAGACTACTGTATTTACCACATACCTTCCATTTACTCCTCTCTGTTGTGTGTCTTGTGTCTGGTATTTATTTTCTGTCTGTTATGCCCAAACTGTTACGTGTCTATTGTCATGAAACACTTTCACATTGGTGGAAGTGTTTTCTGGAAGCAGAGCCTTTTTCCGGCGCCCAGGACTTTTGTTGTGTTCACACTGCAGGAACTTGGCCCGATCCTAGTTCCTCGGAGGCAGTTCCAGAACCTTTTTTTTTAGTAGCCACTTCAGACTAGGTATTTTTCGTTTGAGGACAAACGACGGGCAAAGGCGCTTACAGTGACAGCTTGGTGACGGATGGACCTCAAGCGCCAGCTTTATCTTGGAAGTGAAGCGGAAGTGTGGCGAAAAGAGATACAATTATCAGAGCAAAAACTGAGCAGATGGAATTATTTTTGTACTCTTAATTACATTTAACACATCAATTAACATATGTTTTTGCTTGCATCCTCATTTTTCTGCGTCTGAAAATTTGGGGTAAAAAATGGTGCTGACAGTGTAACATTACATCATTTTTTATTCTGTAGAAAACAAAAAACCGATCTGCTGGCCAGATTTAATAAGAATCTTGAACAAAGGCTGCGTCCTGTTTAGATTGCAACAAATAACTAACAAAACAGCTGATTTGTCCTCTGATGTTTTGCCATGACGGTGTAGTTTTATATGAAATTATGTGTGAAGTGTATCCTATGAACTTTTTGCATCTCCCGTGCTGATTTAGCATAAAGGTCGCAGTTCCTCTTGTGTGGTGTGAGAGCGACACGCGAAAGTCACCAGGAGCTGTGAAAGTTCCAGGTGGAGACCCAGGGACTTGTAAACCGGGACCAGGTTCCGGAACTTTGGTGTGAAAGTGCCTATGGTATCTCCAACAGTAGCAAGCTGTGCCAACAAAAATTTCCCCTGGCCTTGGTCATATAGTAATGATTCTGGTGCCTCTGTTACAAGGACTGTAGATGTTTCCTAGCAGGAGTTGCTCCAGTGAGGGAGCTGGAACTGCTGAGCAGAGTGAAGGGTCCTTTGTGAAGGTTGGCCATGAGTGAGCAAGGGGTCTGGGGGCTCCCAGTAGAGGTTGTCTGGCAGAGAGCCCTCCCCTAACAATCTGCTGCCTGGGGATCTCCTCATTGCTTATGGTGGTCTCTTGCTTCAAGTTGGCTCCCTTCTCGCCTACTCTCATAAGCTCCACTGTCTGTTTTGTTTCTCCTGGACTGCTGGACTGCCTGTATTTGCTCCCAAACCTGCTAGCCTCTTCTCAGGGTTACATAAAACACACCGGCAGTAGGATGCATCCACGCTAAGTGTTGGAGAAACAGCTTCCCCCACCACCCAACCTCTAAGCTGAGGTTATCGCGGCGGCAGATGCTTGCAATTCATCAGTCTTGTAATCTTCCCTCCACGAACTGCCTGACATCCTAACGCTTCAACCTCCGAATTCCTCAGCTGAAGTAAAAGCATGAGGCCTGATGTCCTGGAAATGTTTGCTGCGGAAAATTCACCGAACCGTTCCTGGAAAGTGCCCATGCTGTCTCTTTCCAAATAGCACGGCAGTGAACTCTGCCCCAGATCCTGTCTGCAGCCTTCAGCAAATGAAGAATCCTGAAAGAATAATATAAATCCATTATGCTCCTGTGCTCTTGGGAAGCTGCCAAGATGCTGATCTTGTCATAAAACATGGCTTCCCGTTGACGGACCCTTTCACAGAATCGCCGCAAACTGACAGCAGCCTCCAGCTCAGCGCCGAGCTGTCTTGCTTGTGACTAGAAGTCCGCAAGGATTTATTTAAAGGTGTACAGCGTTGCCCTGAATTCATCCATCTCGCAGGATGGTGCCCCTTAGATCTTCTCTGTGGCCACCAGCAGCTGCATTGCCTGCCACGTCTCCTGAACAATATAAGAAGGTCTATGGAGAAAAAAACTCCAGGCAACTGTAACATTTTTTAATGCATTTAATGCATATGTAAGACAGGGTGGGGGTGCGGCATGGACGTCCTGGGCTGGGTGATGAGCCCAATACTTCACTTTATCTCTGTTTATAGATCATTCCAGAATCGACTCCGGACCCCTGAAACCTTGCATAGGACAAGTGGGTACAGAAATAGGACGGATGTATCCTTTTTTCGGATCTGTGACACCCAGGTCTGCACTATGCTGTCAAAAACAACGTCCTATTTCTTCCTCCCCTCCCCATGTCAGTGATGTCACACTGTTCTGTTCAGTTCTGCAAGCCTTTCAGTATAAAGTTAAATACATAATAATATATTTTTTTGAATTTTATAACGGATAATACTGCACTTTGCTGTATGTATGAAAAGTCAAACGTACAGTGTCTGAATCAAGGAGGATTGGAAGGCCTCCAGCCTGTGGTGTAACTCCCTCCAGAGAATCCCCAGCGGGGGCAGCTACCTTCAACTGTTACCACCCCCCCCCCATACTAAGCCGCTCCCAGATCTACAGAGATAACAAACACGGTGAATAAATCCTGACAAAGGAACAGACCAAGAGCGTGAACAGCATAGCAAAGACAGTATTTTGAAGGTAAGGCAAGGCAAGTTTATTTATATAGCACGTCTTCAAACACAGAGGCCATTTAAAGTGCTTTACAGAAAATAAAAGCAAGTAAGACGAATAACGAAATGGAAAATTAAAAACTGCAAATAAAAGACGATACAAATTAAGAGTCAAAGTTGAAAGAAAAAAAACGAAAAAGCAGCAGCATTAATTAGCAGTGACAATCGAAGGCACTGTGGAATAGAATCATTTTTGGGGGTTTGAAAGCGGCATCATTTGGTGCATGTCTGATCCTCTCGGGGAGTCGGGTCCCGGGGTGTGCGGCACAGTGGCTGCATGCCATGTGGTCTTGCTTACTTTCCGCTCTTGGCACCGTCAGCCAACCAGCTCCTAAAGATCCTAGCAATACATTAGGATCATATCCAGTCAGAAGGTTTGGGAAAAGTACCATTTCATACAGCTGAATATCTAGATTACTTATTTGCCTTTCCTAAGTCAGTACAGCAAATTTATTCAAAACTGGAAAATATATAGAAGGCATTGCTGAAACAGATGATATGGCTAAATAAATTCTAAAAATATGAAATAAATAAAATAAATGACAGAAATGGATGAAACAGGAAATATGCCAGAATAAGAATAAGAACAGTTTCTTGTCTTTTTTTGTCAAGGTTGTGCTTCCTTAAATCTGGCCTGCATGTACCTCAGCTTCAGCATATAGCCATGAGCTGCCTGGACTCCATCAGCATCACACCAAGGTGTGAACCAGCTCCATTAGCAGGGTGTACAGGCCCATCACTGAGCCCTTAGCATCGGTTCGGCAAAACGCCCAGTTAGCTACTATTTCAGTGAGACTGTATCCACTCAGAGTTGACATGGGGATTGTGCAAACCGTCCGCCTTGCTGTCTGGCACAAATCTCATAGCAAAAATGTACCACGCTATCTACACTTATAAGCGTATGATGTTTTCTGACATTATGGACAACATTTTAATGAACTCCAAGTTAGGAATTTTTATTACATAATATAATGTACATCTTATTTCATTTCCATCCATAAAAATACTGATAAACTCATGAATTTATTGTGCAATAGCAGTATGCTGTTATCAGTTACATTCTTTTTGTTTAAAATGTAGTTATTTATTGGTTTTGGGTGGAGAATAGTTAGTGGTTGCTGAATTTTTGGACACAGATGTTGGCTCAATAAAAATATCCTGGATAGAATAGAGAGTTCACCACATAACAGGGCATTTTGCAGAAATTATGTCGTTGGACTGCGGGAGGAAAATTTATATAAACACAGGGAGAATAGGCAACCCCCCCCAAAACACACTCACAGCCAGAACTGTACCCACATAACCACCACATTCACATCCAAACCCATGTAATCTGACCCCAAGGCAATAAAAACTTCCACCACACAACAACAGAGTTCTAGGGTGTTTGAATAAATTAGTTCTCTGTTTTCTTATACTGTAATACATTACCTCTAATCATCTTACCAGAAAGCTCTGGGGTGTGAAAAATAAAGTAGCTCCTTTCTCAGGACAGACATCATACGATTATATGATTATAATGTTTGTTATTATTACCTAATGTCTGTTATTAATGTATATTAAAGCTGTTAAGGTGTGTTTGGATGTTAAGGTGTACTTACATGCTGCTTATGAATGTTCAAGAAAGCATTATAAAGGCATTATGAAGGTGCAGTAACTGCAGTTAATGTAAAGTTAAAGCAAAATTAAGAACCTAATAAGACTATTCAATGGTCAGAAGTACAGCATAAGAACATTCAAAGAATGTAAAGAAGCACCAGGTTAGTAGAGGAATTCATGGAACAAATGAGTCTTCATGACGAGTATTTCAGGGACAATCAAGGGCACTTTCACACCTGCACTGTGACAGTTTCTTTGGTGAGGACAGACCTCTCAATGGCCCCATGGAGCAAACTGGAATCCGGTTGGAGGTGCAGTACAGTTTCTGCATTAGAAGGGCTCCAAAGGAAATATCTCTCAGCTTCCTATTATCTTGCAGGTCATTTTGCCACTTTTAACTTCACCAGATTATCCCCTTTGAAGCTTCCCTGAAGGCAGATTAAGCGTGTGTTTGAACGATCAGCCGTAACATTAAAACCACTGACAGGTGACGTGAATAACACTGATTATCTCATTACAATGGCACCTGACAAGGGTGCCATTATATAACACACAAGTCAACAGTCAGTTCTTGAATGACCAAGTGTAAGAATCTGACTTTGACGAGGGTTAAACTGTGATGGCTAGACAACTGAGTCAGATCATCTCCAAAAGTGATGAGTGGGATGTTCCCGGTATGCAGTGGTCAGTATCAAGGCTCACTGGTGTGCATGGACAGCGATGGTTAGCCCTTCTGTTCCAAGCCCACAGGAGAGCTACTGTAGCACAAATTGCAATGGAACAATGGAAGAAGGTGGCCTGGTCTGATGAGCTACGTTTTCTGTTACATGCTATGAACAAACTGGTGCGTGTGCATTTTTTACCTGGGGAGGTGATGGCACCAGGTTGCACTATGGGAAGAAGGCAAGCCGGCGGAGGCAATGTGATGCCTTGGGCAATGTTCTGCTGGGAAACCTTTGTTCCTGGCATTCATGTGGATGTTACTTTGACACATATCACCTACCTAAACATTCTTGCAGACTAAGTACACCCCTTCATGGCAATGGTATTACCCGATAGCAGTGGCCTCTTTGTGCAGGATAATGTGCCCAGCCGTGCTGCAAAAATTGTTCAGGAATGGTTTGAGGGTTAGGAGTTCAATGTATAGACTTGGCCTCCAAATTCCCCAGATCTCAATCTGACAGAGAATCTGTGGGATGTGCTGAGCAAACAAGTCCAATCTATGGAAGCCCCACCTTGCAACTTACAGGATTTAAACGACCTGCTTATAATACCTTTATGCGAGATACCACAGGACAACTTCAGAGGTCTTGAGGAGTCCATGCCTCAATTGGTCAATTTTGGTGGCACAAGTGGGACCAACAGGATATTAAGCAGGTGATTGATTTTAATGTTGTGACTGATTTATGTATGTTGATTTTGTATACAAAGCTGTTAGCAATTTCAATAATTGAAAACAGACCTACATACCCTGATGGAGACAAGTTGGCTGTGATCAAATATCTTGGCTCTTATCCACAATGGTTCTTCTCATTTAACCGTCATGATGAATCTATTTGGCAGAACTGCGTCCCTTCAGGCAGAACATTCCATACAAGCCAGCACAGTATGGCTCAAAAATGTGGACTTGGGCTTCTGGAGCGGAACCTAGCATGGATGCTAATTCTACAGTTACATCTCCGTGATCGCAGTAACGGGCTCCACAGCAATCACTTAACAAGTGAGGGCTCCTTCCCATTCCGGCATATCTGGAGCTGATCCAGAATAGAGGAGTCAAACTGTTTGGGAAACAGGCTGAGACAAGATAGAAGTGAAATGATCTGATTCCTCAAGGAATTTTACTGGACTGTAAGACCATGGATGAAACAAAATGTGAACATACCAAAGGAGGCACAAAGTCATTTCCTCCACTCTGTAATTCATTACTAAGAATATTAAAGTAGTCGCTGTTGCTATGTTCTGGCATTTGTATTTCACAGATGTTAGCATCAAAATGGCAGACTCTCCTCTCCCAGATTTGTTGAAATGGTGCCGTTCTGCCAAGCTTCCTGTTCCTTTCCGTAATCCCTGAGTTTTGTGGGTCTATGTGTCATCTGTGTTGAAGCAAAATCTCACGTTAGCAATACCTACAGTATGTGTTCACTTAGCTATTAAACATCTATCCATCCATCCACCTTACAACTGTTTTGGATATTCATGCATTTTCATGTATTCTTCATAGCTTAAGTCTTGGCTAAGTACTATTTTAGGTTAACTATTAGATTTTTTTTTAAAAATTTCAATCACAGATTAATGGTTAAAATGAATTTTTCAAAAAAATACAGTCTCTCTCAACCCAGGCTAGTCTTTAACACAACACTTACAATTGGTCTTCAAACTTTGGGAAGGACTGCTATTTTCTGTTAGTCGCCATGAAGCTAAACTCCCTTCATTACCCAGAGCTGCATCAGTACATATGCCAACAGGAAGCAAGTTTTGCTTGTTCACAACAGTCATACTACCTAAGAAATATTTCTTAGCTTAGAATATATATATATAAGCCATAGAGAAAATGGGCCAATAGACATGCAAAAAACCCCACAGACATTTCTTTTTTGTTCTTGTTGATCATGCAAAATACTGCCAACGTGTGACCATCAGACAAGGTGTGAGGCAGCGAGTTGTATCCGTCTCTCTTAGACAAATGACATAAATGACAGTATGTGTTTGTGTGAGATGAATAATGGGCCGTACCATTCGGTATAAACAGACCTTTAGCATTAGCAGGGCTTTAAAAACGCCAGAGGGGGGAGGCGCTGCCTGGAATCCACCACCAGAGTTATCCTGAGTTTACTGACCTCCCTCCTGGAAGACCAGCACAGGGAGACGTCATACCTAAGCCTGCAAATTTCACAGCTCCTTAACACCATGTGTCTATAGTGCATAATATGGCCTCATGTCATACTCTGATGACACACCTCCTGGCCCCAGTTATATGTGCTTGGAGTACTTGTGTTCTGGAGTTTACATGATCCCAGAGATTTCCTTCAGCAGTCCAAAATCATGCTATTAGGTGAACGGGTGTTTCTAAACATCTCATGTCATGTGATGGTGGGGCTGAGCGTGTGCCGATGGATTGGCATCCCATCCAGGGTGCCCCTTTGGCTCGTGCCCTCTCTAGACTTACTGCAGCCCTATACTGGATGATGGGTAATAAATGGGTCAATCAAGGTACAGAGAAGAACGTGGGCCACCCAAAGTGTTGAACCTGCAGCTTATAAGAGATCTGTTTTTCCTCTTTAGGAATTAAGAAAAACTGCATAAGAAACATACACCTGCAACAGGATGGTCCAAAATTCCAAAACTTCTACCATTTACTACGGAGAATTCATGGGCAAAATTTTATCTTTCTAGTCCTGAATTTATGGGTCCCTCAAAACTGCTTCTTTTTCAACAGAAGCCAGATTAAACCACTTTCTGCAGATATGCAACAGGTCGAAATGAAATCAGTTCCTTAAAGTCTGTATGCACTACAGTCACCTCTCGGCACATTTATATAAAATGATTATATATCAGAATAAATCAGAATTGCAAAAGAAACATCATATTAATGAAATTAAATCAGTCTGCAAACCTGCAGGCCTGTAGGCATGAACCAGTTGAATCTATAACGTTTCACTTCAAAGAAACACAGATTTCACAACAGATGGCATATCTTTACCGGGCTTCACAACCACTTTCAGAAGGTACTGTTTTTGGGACTCATCCCTAGTGAGGCAACTATTAAAATTTGTTGCAAGAGCGATCAGACATGCCCTTGACAACATTCTTGAACTCCTGGTATGTGGCATGATGTTACCATGTTGACAGGGCTTTCGTGAGAAACGGTCAGACACCTCTGTTGGCCATTTGGAAATATTCCATTGAAGATCCTCCTTGATCTGTTGGTAATGTGGTCATGGAGGGCTGTCAAGTTCTTCTTCTCCAGCCTTTTGAGTCCTTTGTTCTGGAGTATCCAATTTCTCCATCATCCTCTTCTTGTCCCCGTCAAAAAAATATCTTTTGATTCACCAACATGAAATTAAACTGACTGAAAATGTAAATAATTTCATAGACCCAAAGCAAGTTCACATTTGGGGGTAACTCTAAATTTTGTTCAATCCCGGCTGTATTGTGCACATAGGCTCACAGTATGATATGGAATAAGGCAGGATGGGTCCTGTTGTGTTGCTAGAACTTTTTCAACCTTATTAATGATGGACCACTCTAACCTGCAATATTTTTTACATGAATTTAAAATGAAAAGTTTTTAACTGCTCTGCTACCTGCATCATAATCCCACCTGGCAGGTGTTTTAATCTTCTCCTGATGCCTTGGTAAATAACTAGGCCGCTGATGAACTCAGAGATGAAATAAAACATATCTGCTACTTGCATAACCACGGGGGAGGTTCATCTTGCTTTGCTGCAGTCACTGTGTTTAACAAGCCTTTTCCCAGACATATGAGCATAAAGTCTTTGGAGCTATTTTTAATTTTTTACAACATTACACACACACACACATATATACTGTACAGTACTGTGCAAAAGTCTTAGGCAGTCCAAAGAAATGTTTAAAGCTGTTTATCTGGGTAGCAAGTGTACTTTGGTTTAGAACAAAAAACACAATTTAGCATTAGAACATGTGCAAATTAAGAGTAACACAATAAAAACTAGTAATCATTTCTTCTGTTTTCTAAACAGTTACTGATATCTAGTTGGATGGCTAGATGAACACCGCTTCAGTTCCCAAACTTCTCCTCAGGGGCACCTCAGCCGTTCCATGATTTTGTTAAATTTCACCAACAGCTCAATTAAATAATTAATAAATTGGTTTAAAAAGTCAGTGACAGATTGACTAGCTGTATGAGGTGTGCTAGTGGCCAAGTCAAAAAATACATGGCTGCACTGGACGGTCGCTGCAAATACTGGGGTGATTTTAGCAGAGGTTCTGAATTGGATAAGCTGACACACTTTGACAGGCATAATATCATAGCTTTACACCAACACGAGGATAATCTAAACATCATTTTCTTTGCCTGCCTATGACTTTTGCACAGTACATATATACATATATATATGTATATATATATGCGCATGGGGGTGGGTCACACAGTGCAGTTTTGCCTGTGCGTGCGTGTGTGTGTGTGAGAGAGAGAGAGATTATGTTTATATTACATCGTGGGGACCAAATGTTCTCCACCATTTAATAAAAATCTGTTATTTTTACATTGTGGGGACCATTTTTCAGGTCACCTCAAAAATCTGTGAATGCAATCAAAAAACTAAAAATTTCCAAAGTCTCATATTTTGCTTGGTTACTTATGATTAACATTAAGGCTGGGTAGGGGTTAAGGTCATCATGTTGGGATTAGAGTTTTCCCCATAGAAATTAATGGAGACTCGCTACAACTATATAATTACACAAACCTGTGTGTGTGTGTGTGTGTGTGTGTGTGTGTGTGTGTGTGTGTCTGTGTGTGTGTGTGTGTGTGGATATGTGTGTTGTTCTCTGGTTTTCTGACCCACTCACCCTGCAGTGTTCCATGTCCACAAGGACAGCTTTGAAGATGGATATAGGATGGATATAGGAATGTGTTCTCTGCTTACGGGGCTGGATGTCATGCTTCCACCTTGTAGCTTTACAGACAGAAACATACAACTGAATGTTTAGAAAAATGTTGTCACCCACGGATTTCTCCATCCATCCATCCATCCATCTTCAACATCTGCTTACCCAGTACAGAGTCATCCCTGCGAGAGTGTACACTCTCATGGATGATTCTCAGAACTTTTTCATTCACAGACGTTTTGGACTGGGAGAGAAAACCGGACCAAAATAAAGAAATGCAGGGGTAGAGTGGCAACTCCATGCACAAAACTGTGTCCCCATTCTCTGGGGGCGTGAGACCAGAGCTAAATGCTGAGCCACCCAGATACAAAACACAACAGTTCTGGAAGGTTCCCTTAAGAATTTCCTGAGTGGATGTAATTGCTGGAAAGCTCTATGTGTATGAAAAAACACTGGAAGAAGATAGATTTATCTTCCACTGGTGGAAGCTGACATAACATATCACCCTTTAAATATTACGAATAATCACATTATCATTTAATACAGTATATGGAGTGTGGCAGAAGAATTTGACCCGACCTTGAACTTACAGGTAAAACATACATCAGTTTATTCCCAATAGCTCATGCATTTTAAAGCGAATTTAGGGATCGAGACAAACTGTAACATTACCTTGCTGCCCCCTAGTGGTAAATCAAAGTGGCATAAAAGATCAAAGTTTTTATCTAATAATATAGTATTCTGAACGATTCATTTGCTTTTACTTTTTGTAACATTTTACAAATTCTTGACCATTTGATTTGATATAATGTCGGTTTGAATGGTGTCAGCAGTTCAAATCTTGGGCTGTGGACAATGTGAAACATGTATTGTTCTCTGATGAGTCCACCTTCACTGTCTTTCCCACATCTGGGAGAGTTACAGTGTGGAGAAGCCCCGAAGAGGCTTACCACCTGGACGGTTGCAGCATGGCGGTGGATCAGTGAGAGGTTCGGCTGCAATATCATGGCATTCCGAAGGCACACTACTTGTCTGAGATGGGCGCCTCATTGCCAAGAACCACCCAACATTGCTGCATTGGCTGCAGTAGCAGGTCCTACCCCATACTAACAAATTATTGCGGTCTAAAACCAGCCGTTTCAATTTCATTGACTAACCCCTGTAGGCAAAAAGAATGTGTGTGAATTGTAAAAAATTCTAAATTGTAGAAACACTTCCAATTTTTAGAGACTGCAGAACTTTATTTAACTCTTGGTCCAGTTAATCATCCAATGTGTGATATTTGTAACATAATTTGTTTATAAACATTACTACCAATATTTGTATAGTAATTTTTAAAGCGTAGTGCTAAAAATGCCAGGTGTTT